GCCCGCCTCCCCCCTCCCCCCTCCCCCCCACCAAAGAGTGTCTCAACTAGAGTTCACTCCATAAAGATATCTTAGAGCTTTGGAGCTACTTAAAAGTTTATACTGTACTGTAAATGTTTTGGACGTTTAAAATTTCGAACAGTTATGTTTTCGGACACTTAATTTTTTCCCAAATTAAGAACGTCCAAAATTAGAATCGTCCGAAATTTTTTGCAAGTAATGTACTGTAATACGTACCATATGGACGAACAGTCAGATCATACAAGACTAAAACGTCAAACGGGCCAAAAATGTAACCGTTAGACGTAAATGGAAAATTTTAACCGTTAGTTGTAAAAAAAAAACAACAGTTAATATTTTTAGCCACGAAAGTGAAAATCTCAAGATCTCAAGTCAAGACTTTTTTGTGTCTTGTTTTTTGTCTTTCTTTGGTGAATGTGGCGCGAATCTATTTGTCACGCGAGCTTGGGTGAACCAAGTCACGTGCCGAACATCCCCGTATAGGGACGGTCTCGATTGAGCGTCGGGGACTGGCACAGAATTTCCAAGGCCTCATTAATTCTCCTTATGTAGTTGTTTTCTTCTCAGCTATGACAGCCGCCTTACTCTCTTCCAACTTGTGGCCTGTGTCCCTAAGGTGGAGAGTAAGGTGGAGGTGGGGAGTATCAATAGATATGTTTTACAGTCATCAAAATAAATTTTTAACTTTTTACAAACAATGAAGATTTATTTTTAACTTGTTAAAAGAACGTAATTAACTAAGCTCGATTGCTAGGCCTTTGTTTTGCTGCTTAGCCGCGTCGTTGACATTTAGTTCAAATATTTGAGCTTCTCACGGACGAGAAACAACTCGTTGTAAATAAATTCAATAACAGCTTCCCGGGTAACTTGTGTATATAGATAACTGAATCCACACACACTAAATTTTGAGTACAACAGCAGCAGACAGCTTGATACAAACCCCTCGTTTCAGATACGGATGGCGTTCTTCCATTTGCTGAGGGTAGTCTTTGTGGGAGTTTTGATCCCAGTGACCAGATCTCAAGGTAATTCAGTTGGTGGTTTAAACTCAGTAACACTCGAGGGATAAATTTCCCTGTACAAAATTTTCCGATAAACAGTATTGTTAACAGCCTTACCGTTAGCTTCTGCAGTTAGATGTGCCGTAATAAGATTTCATTTTATAGATCCCACGGCTTTCGTGAAAGTTTTGTTCCGTCCAGGAGCACAGGATTGTCCAATACTCAGCTCGCCCAATGATTTCAAAAAGGGCATCTGACATCACAAAATCAACTGGGGATGCCACAAAATAACATAGGGAGACCACAAAATAACGTAGGGAGACCACAAAATAACATAGAGACATCACAAAATCACATAGTGATACTACCAATCGAATCAGTTAATTTTGTCCGGATATTATAACCCCCCTAACTCAAAATCGCCAAAAATATTTTATAGTCAAATTATAAATGAAGATGGTTTTTTCTCTTTCTAAAAAGGAAGAAATCAAAAAAATATATTTTTATTCAGCTTGAATGGGTCAAATTGATTTTTTTAAAACCAAAAAATTTGACACTTAAATGGTAAAGGAGAGCGAGCGAAAAAATACGTTTGTTTTCTTTTCAAAAAGAAACTAAACAGCCAAAAAATCAAACTGAATTTTTATTTGCAAACAAAGGCTTGAATAATTGTCAATCTGAGTTTTTATTCTGATAGAATTAATATAATTGTCTTTCTTTCCATCACCCAAGCTTCAACAAACTCGATTCGCTTTATATATTTTCGACATCACTAAATGGAACCCAGCTGTTGAATTCAACTATTTTTTGATTAAATATTTAGGTTATTTTTCTTGTTTAGACAATATTTGAAACTCGCTCCTTTGTTTCTTTCATTCAAAAACATGATGCTGAAATAATCACCTTTAACCGAATCGAGGTGTTGAATTTGGTTGTTGTTAAACGAAGAGAGGGAAGATTGCCTTCCCATTCGTGAGGAGGTGCATGTATACGTCAGTGGCAAGGACGGAGGAGGTCGCTAAAAGGAAAGAAACGATAAACCTATGTTTTTAGAGTGAGCAATTGCTTTTAAGGTCTTGCTGATACAGAAGCATAAAATGAAAAGGATTGTTTCAAGCTGTGAAATATTTTACCACTGAACTTGTTCGGCTGACGGAGTTACTGTAGATACAAATTTGAACGCTTGTTCAATTTGGAAGAATTTCTACTTATAATGGCCACCCGGATATGATACTGCAGCCGGTCAACATTTCCTTCTAACAAGACCTGTTGGCTCATTAAAAAAAAAAACCTTCGGAAATTATAAGTCCTAAATTGTCCTTAAATCGCTGGCGACAGACGAAGTCTTCTCAAAAACAGTTGATTTTTTCAGGCGAATCTTTTTTCCCCTCTATTAACGTTCCTGTTTTCAGTGACAGAACCCAATGCCTGGATACTATTCGACCTTTGTATACTAACTTTTCAGATATAAGATAAGGTATTTTATTCGAGATAGGTCGCCTAAGCTTTTGGAAAAAAATGACTCATTTATTGGAACGGGGCAAATTAACGCAAACTTTGAGATATATATATATATTTTTTTTCATTTTAGAATCATGTCCACAGGCTTGGATGTACCTTAAAGGCTTTTGCTACAAGTTCTGATCCCAGTCCTTAACCTGGAACGCAGCAAAAACCGCCTGTGAGAATATGGGGGCTATGCTAGCTGTGGTGGATTCAAAAGAAAAGCAAAACGGGATTGCAACCAAATTAAAGGGCCAAAATCATTGGATTGGTTTGTACAGGGATCCTGAAACACTTCACGTTGGCTGTGGGTTGACTGGTCACGACTTAGTAACGGTTGTGGTTACTGGAGTGCAGGAGAACCTAATAACTACAAAGGCAGATTTGAAGGTTGCGGTGAGATGTGGTCCTCGAAATCCGGACTTTGGAATGATGAAAGTTGTTCGACGAAACGCCGCTACATCTGCCAAAAGAAGGGTTGGTGCTATTCCCTTGTTAACGAAAGTGTCATTAGATTTAACCTTAAATATGATGAGAAAATTACTTCATTGTGATCATGATTGGCTAAGAGCGGGCTCGCGNAAAAAAAATATCCAGTAGTTTTTGTCATACCCTAGCCTATCTGCCATGAAAATATGAGCGAAATCGAATTTTCGACTCTTGCCGAGTTATTTTCCATTTTTATGGACAGGGACTCTTAAATATGATGAGAAAATTACTTCATTGTGATCATGATTGGCTAAGAGCGGGCTCGCGCGTTCGTAATTTTCTCAGTCATAGAATAAGTGAGCAATCGTATGATCTATTCTGTTGAAGATAGTGAGCGGTATAGCGGCCTAGCAGTGTGCTGTTGTTAACACAATGGCGGCTGCTTCTTTGCATTTTAGAAGTGTCTGTGAAGTGGCAAAGTTTTGCACGGCTGATACATTTATGCTAATAAAAACTATTAGATTATTCGCTCTCGATTTCTATACGTGATGGTTGACTCGGGCTGCGCCTTGTCAACTATCACGCGATAGAAATCTCGAGCTCATAATCTAATTGTTAAATATACCTTTTCCCAGTTGCCTTTAGCATCAATTTCAAACGAGTCCTACCAAAGTTTAAAAAAACATTTAAATGAAAAAGTGTTTCATGATTTGCATTGTATTGCAGAAGTGAACACAAGCGCAGAAATGACATTTTTAGGTAATAGCTAGGAAAACAAGCAAAAAAACCCCCAAAACAACCACCCCTTACTTCACAATATTTATGATCGTATTTTTCAGCGTGTCCTAAAGTTGGACAGAGTGAAGACGAACCCTTGCGAGAGGAACTGGAGGAAGGTAAGTAAGAGTGAATGGGTTGAGAGTTGCTAGGCCTTTTTCTCTGAAAGCGTCAGGTTTCGCTTGCCACATATGGTTTAGAATAGCCCTTTTCACGGTTACCTTTGCTCATTTGCATTACAATAAAATCTAGCATGTATGTGAGGCAATTTCGGGCTATTTTGTAGTTTTAGCCCAAAATTGCCTCGCATTTACGTTGGATTACATTGTAATGCAAATGAGAAAAATTAACCGTGAAAAGGGCTATTCTACTGTAGAACGTTTCTGCAACTTGGCGTGGCCACAAGTTTGAAATCAGTTATGGCGCGTTTTCAAGCTAATATTATCTCTCGTTCCACGTTTTGCAGGCTCTGCACAAGTCAGTTGATTTTGATGGATGGACCGATTTACATAGGGGGCTTGTTTGTTAAGTTACATGCTTTTTAGGTAGTTTTGCAAAGGGGAATGTAAACGATAGCTTATAGACTGCAAGCAGTCTCTCTTTTGCTCGGAAATCTTAGGAAAGAACGCAAAACAAGTGAGTGTGCGAGCGCGACATGCGGCCGGCGAGCGGCGAAGCCGTGAGCCGCGAGTTGCGCGGCCGTTGGACGTCTTCCGACGCCCGCGGTACTTGCGGCTCACCGCTTCGCATGTCATGCTCGCACGGACCACTCACTTGTGTTGCGTTCCTCTTTTTGTTCTTCCCACGGAATTTCAAGCGAAAAAGAGACTGCTCACAGTCTAGGAACACACTCAAACAATGGGTTGCTTTGGAGATTTTCAGTGGGGTTTGCCTAGCAATAAATATTTGAAACGGTCAAAATTCGACTATTATTTTGTTTCTTGGACTAGGGAGTCTGGCCATCCTACAGAGTGAATTGATTTGAAGGTTACTTCCATGTTTAAAATTATCCACATACATTTTGTGTGGTACGTTACAGATATCATCTCCTTGGTCGACTTAATACCGCTTTCTTGTTTTATGCCTTTAATCGTTTTCGCTAGGTCTTTTTCTTCCCCCTTCGTTTCTCCATAAAAAACCTGTTTTGGAATATTTAAAACTAGACAGTTGATAGCTATGGAGTTAGATAGCAACTGGACACAGAGACACAAATTCGGCAATGTGCAAATAATGTGCGGGTAAGAGATTGTCAAGGTAAGAGAGTGAATCCCCCATATAGGCCTTATACCCAAGGTAATCCCTCTTAAGTTATTTTTAGAAAATGGTACCCAGTTTTTCTCTTTCTTAAAAAACATTCTGGTGACATTTACACACGCAGAAAAGCTCAGAAACGCACCTAGTCTCCATTTTTTTTTTCGATAAAACAAATCTATAAGCCATTCGAAAAACTTCTAAAAAAA